TACTGCTGTGTTTGAAGTCTATGAAGCATGGTAATTTGTAATGGAAGTATATAATAGAATACAGACCAGGGGTTTCATTAGCAGCAGGCAACAGGCATTTTCACTGGTTGTTTTCACAAAACATGCAAAATCGCCTGTTGTTTTTATGGACTTTTCAACTTTCCCATGTTACATTTATGATTTCCATTAATTTTGCCTGTTGTTTTCATTTATTTAACCTGTTATGAGAAAATCTAGTGAAACCCCTGCAGACTATTTTAAGTTCATGGTTATTTCATTTATGATTTCAACACAGGCTAAATCTGTAGTATGAAAAAGACATGTCAAAGGAGGAGGGAAGTTAGCGCAACAGATTTTGGGCAGTCATATGTTTGATTTTGGCCATTTCCTGGGGATTTAAACAGGTGCATATGTTAGGTGAATGCATTTCCTCCAGGAAAATCATTTCTAGAGGTGATAAAATAATTTCGATTTTGAGACAGGGTAGATGCAAACAACCCACCCACATGTTTTTTCTGAAATATTTTCCTGATTTTCAACCCCTTCCATCCTTGCTTTTTTAATTTTTCTTGCATCAATATGTTGCATTTTGACACACAGTTAATTCCTTAAAAGGAATAAATGATTCCTTTTAGATAAAGTGGAAAACAATATTTCCCATGTTATTTTCCCATAGGAAAAATCATTGCTTTCAGCTAAGTTTGGTCACCCATAATGGCTATCTTTAAAACCCCTGAAGGAATCACTTATTCCTTTAAAGTGGTTAATTATGTGTCAAAATGCAACATATTGATGCAAGAAAAATTAAAAAAGCAAGGATGGAAGGGGTCAAAAATAAGGAAAACATTTCAGAAAAAAACATGTGGGTGGGTTGTTTGCTCTATGTTTCCTAAGTGACATCCATACATACAAGTAGATTTCATGTTAAAGGATTGGGTGAAATACATATTTAAGTGAAACCCACCAGAATGTACAGCCTCAGGAAATGGGTTGGGTGGGAGGGTAACTTATTTTTCAATCATTTCCCAATTTCATGATATTTCATCCAAATTTCATGATATGTAAACTATTATCCATTCCATTCGCTAATGACTACCACCCTCGAATTCCCTATTTAGAATAAACATTCACTCTACTCAATAATATAGATGTCACTTAGGAAATCTATGTTTCCTAAGTCACATCCATACATACAAGTAGATTTCATGTTAAAGGATTGGGTGAAATACACATTTAATTTTACCCTTTACGGTGTATTTACATCCTGAATAATGTGATTTGTTAATTTTTACTACTCCCAATCCTCAAATCTTTAATAAAAAATTAACAAAAAACTAACGTGGACATCGGATTTGAGAGCAATCTCTCCCAGTAGTTCTAGTAGATGGTTTTCCATTCATGATGTAATTATGAAGCTAATAAAACCTAAAATTGACCTCATATCAATGTTTCATTCATGAATTACTGGTGGGGAAAAATCAGTCCCCTAACATGAGTAAATAACCTCATTGCCAATTACCTCCTACTGTGGAGAGACAACTCTCACATCAGAAGAAGTCCACGTGGTTAAAACCACTAAGAGATCAGTGCTCCCGGACTTTAGATGTAAAGAGAAGCCAATTGGTTATCAGACTTCACTAGTTTCAAATGTTACAAACTCAAGTCATTTTCAAATAAGTTTACAAGAGGGTACATGGAATTAAACCATAACATAACCAATCACTTGCATAGGTTATCCAGTCATGTCAAAACAATTCAACCTACTTTCTATTGAGTAAACCCCAGTTTTCATTCAATTGCTAATTACCAGATTATACCTGAGTGTCATTATTTTCGTCACACTGTACTATAACGTACTGTATAATGACCTCTAATTTTACTGTGTTATTAACACGTTGAATTTTCAGTGTTCATTATAACACACTACTATACCTAACACCTAGAAATTCATAAGATACTTTGTTTGTCTAATTGGATTGTTTAGTATATTTTTGAAAGTACCTTTATCAACATCAACTTTCAACCGATAAACCATTAATAAGAGACAGACAAATAAAAACAAATATATAATCATTACTAAGAAGCCAAATGGGTTGCTCATGAAAGCCAAATGCAAGGTATAGTAGAGTGTATAAGGCCATGTTATCAAGATTTTTCATGTCATCAATGTTCTATTTTTCTTTGTTTCTGTCAAATATTTGCCTCTCAGAAAACTTCTCTTATATTGTCTCATAGTTATATTTAATAGCCCCTTGCTCTAGCATATATCTCTATCTCTAGGCTCTCAAGGCCTTTTATTCATTACCCCTCATGGTTCATATTTTTTGCCCCCTGCTTGCGCATATATTTTCAGGCCCTTGGAGCCTTTTATTTTAGCCCCTTGCTCGGGCATTTATATCTAGGCCCTCAAAGCCTTTTATTTTAGCCCCTTGCTCGGGCATTTATATCTAGGCCCTCAAAGCCTTTTATTTTTAGCCCCTTGCTCGGGCATTATATCTCTAGGCCCTCAAAGCCTTTTAATCTCTAGGCCCTCAAAGCCTTTTATTTTAGCCCCTTGCTCGGGCATTATATCTCTAGGCCCTCAAAGCCTTTTATTTTAGCCCCTTGCTCGGGCGCCCCTTGCTCGGGCGCCCCTTGCTCGGGCATGTAAATCAAAATATGCTTACCACTGCTGAATGTACGTCTGGCCACTTCGAATTCCCTATTTAGAATAAACATTCACTCTACTCAATAATATAGATGTCACTTAGGAAAATCTACCCTGTCTAAAAGTCGAAATTATTTTATCATATCTAGAAGTGATTTTCCTGGAGGTAATGCATTGGCCTAACATATGCAATTGTTTAAATCCTCAGAAAATGGCCAAAATCCAACATATGACTGTCCAAAATCTGTTGCGCTAACTTCCCTCCTCCTTTGTAAAATCTTCTAGACTACTAGTAGTTGATCAACATGATCAAGAACTTTTGTGAAATTACCAAATAAGTTGATCCCTTGCAATAAAAAGTTTTAAGAAAAATATGTTTGCTCACTGCATGTATTTATCACAAATATTAGGCACAGACATACACATTTTTCAAATTACATTTTTTCGAGAATCTTAACATTCAAATCGTCTAACATGTTCAAATGTTTGAATCGCTAAACATCAAACACAACATTAACATGACAAAATGTCAGAATTGAGTACTCGTATCTTATTCTGAATTTTTTTTTGTTAATTTTAAGCCAGTTGAAAAAGACCTTTTAGACGTTCATTGATCATGAGAAGGTCACTGTAGGTCAAATCTTAAATGTAAAGTCAGATTTGAACTTCTGAGAACTCGTAAAAGATTTTTTTTAAATTTGTCAATTTGAAAAATACCTTTTTGACCTTTTTTGACCTCGAGAAGGTCATTGAAGGTCAAATCTAAAGTCTGATTTGAGCTTCTAAGAACTTTAGATGGCTTTGAGAAAATACTTTGGTCAATTTAAAGCAAGTTGAAAAAATACCTTTTTACCTCGATAAGTCGTTGAAGGTCAAATCTCAATTCTAAAATCATATTTCAACTTTTGAGAACTTGTTGATAGTTTTGAAAAAAATTAAAGTCAGTCTAAACAGTATTTGTTAATTTATTGGAAGTTGTAAGAAATATTTAAAGACGCGAACCACAACACATCGACTGCCATCACAAAAACGGAGTCCATAACAATATGTCACCACTATTTGGTGGTGACATAAAAATCATTGCTTTACATCGAGAGAAGCATTGTTTTTACAAAGTCTCACAAGTATGTGTCCTTAAATGGTAACTTTAATCAAGTTATCTTACATTTACATTTTTTCTTCAAAATGAGTCACATTAAATCTTGAAATGATGTAAAATGTCTTTTAAAAGTAAAATGATTCCCACAATATTCACATTTGAATGGGTTCCCCCTAGTATGTTGTTTCAGTTCATTTTGATTTTTGTGAATGATCGCTTACAAATGTTCACATTTCAATGACTCATCCCCAGTATGAGTACTGATTTACTCTTTAAAGTTATCTTTAACTGAAACATTCAACACAATATTAAATTTGAATGGTTCCTTTCAAGTCAATTGATTCTTGCTATGTTGTTTCATATTGCTTTGTAATATGAAACATTTCCAAGAATTGTCACATTTGAAGGCTTTCTCTCCAGTATGAATTCTGATAAGCTGTTTCAAATTTTCTTGAAATGAAATATTTCTCACAATTTTCACATTTGAATTATTTCTCTCCAGTTTGAATCTTGACATGTTGTTAGGATCAATTCTTACAATTATAACATTTGAATGCTTCTCAAAATGATTGCATTTGAGTGTTTTGCTCATGTATGAATTCTGTTATGCTCTTTTAAGTTGTATTTTTATATAAAAAATTTCCACAATGATCACATTTGAATGTTTTAAATCCTTTCTCCAGTATGAATCCTATAATGCAGTGCCAAATGGTGCAGTCATCTGAAAGATTTTCACAATTTTCACATTTGAATGGTTTCTCTCCAGTGTGAATCTTGTTATGATCTTTCAAATTATTTTGATTGGTGAAATATTTTTCACAGTGTTCAATTTTAAAGGATTTCTCGCCATTATGAGTGATCATATGATATGTCAAGTTGCTTTGTTGTGCAAAACACTTGTCACAATATTCACATTTGGCAGGTTTCTCTCTAGATGAATCCTAAAATGCAAGGAGGATTGGCTCCCAGAGTGCACCACCGATATTCTGTCCCATATATGGGTATGTCGTAATACAAAATTCGAATTCAAACAGCCGCCATTTTGTTCACTTCAACATTTAAATCGTGAATTTTGGTCTTATTTCCAAACGAAAAATTCCAAAACTCACAAGAAATGATCGAGATATTGGTTCGAATCTTTTGAACTGTTTATTTTGAATTTATAGTCGGTTTTAATTTCAGAAAATAACGACATTTCGACGTTTTCATTGTTGGAAAATATCGAGTTTCGATCCTGGGAGCCAATCCTCCTTGCTAAAATGCCATTTTAAACTGTTTTGTTGGGTGAAACATTTCTTATTATGGTCACACTTGAATGACTTCTATCTTATGAGTCCCGATATGTTGTAATAAATGGTGTTAGCGTCTGAAACGCTTTTCACAATGATCACATTTGAATGGTTTCTCTCCAGTATGTGTCATAATATGTCGTTTTAAATTGTTTTGTTGGGGGAAACATTTCTCACAATGCTCACATTCTGACATTTGAATGGTTTCGATTTAGTATGAATCCTGATATGTACTTCCAAATGTTTTTGATGGATGAAACGTTTCTCACAATGTTTACATTTAAATGATTTCTCTCTAGTATGAATCTTGCTATGTTGTTTCAAATTATGTTGATGGGTGAAACATTTTTCACAATGTTCACATTTAAAGGATTTCTCTCCAGTATGAATCCTAGAATGCCGTTTTAAAATGTTTTGTTGGGTGAAACATTTCTCACAATGTTCACATTTGAATGGTTTCTCTCCACTGTGAATTCTAATATGCTCTTTCAAAGTGGATTCTTGTTTGAAACACTTTCCACAATGATCACATTTGAATGGTTTTTCTCCAGTATGAGTCATGATATGTCGTTTCAAATTGTTTTGTTGGATGAAACACTTTCCACAATGATCACATTTGAATGGTTTCTCTTGAGTATGAATCCTGATATGCTGCTTCAAAACTTTTTTAAGCATGAAACATTTCTGACAATATTCACATTTGAATGGTTTCTCCCCAGTGTCAATACTGGCAGCATAGACATTATCATTAACAGAACATACAAGTTCAGTTTTGATATCTGATTCCTTATCCTCAAACTGAACAGGTGCATTACATTTATTTGTTTCAAGATCAGACAGATCATCCGTGCAGTTTAACTCTTCTTTAATATTAAATTCATTGTAGTCAATCGCACACGTCTTTGAATCACCACCTGTATGATTGAATTCTCGTTTGTCATCATTGTGGCTGGTCACGTTCAGCAATGTGGCATCATTTGTAGCAATACTGTCCTCATCAAATGATTCATTGATTTCTTCTTTAATATTGAGTGAATTGTAGTCAATTGAAGCAGTCACTTCTTGGCCACCTGCACAATCTAATTCTCGTTTTATATCATTATGGCTGATCCTGTTCAGCAATGTGGCATCATTTGTAGCGATATTGCCCTCATCAAATGATTCCTTGATTTCTTCTTTAATATTGAGTGAATTGTAGTCAATTGAAGCAGTCACTTCTTGGCCACCTGCACAATCTAATTCTCGTTTGATATCATTATGGCTGATCCTGTTCAGCAATGTGGCATCATTTGTAGCGATACTGTCCTCATCAAATGATTCCTTGATTTCTTCTTTAATATTGAGTGAATTGAAGTCAATTGAAGCAGTCACTTCTTGGCCACCTGCACAATCTAATTCTCGTTTGATATCATTATGGCTGATCCTGTTCAGCAATGTGGCATCATTTCTAGAGATACTATCCTCATCAAACGAATCCTTGATTTCCTCTTTGATACTATATTCCTCATTACATTGCCTTGTATCATTCTCTGCTGCCATGTCATCAATATTCTTAAGATCTTAAACTATACCTGAATATTGAATGTCTTCAAAAGTATCTTGAGAACTGATTTGTCACTGTGCTATCATCACCTCTTATATGTTTATATGTTCGTGGAAATATATGGAAGTCACTTGAATCGAACAGCAGTGTAGAGTACTTTTGATCATCTACACATGGAAGTCACTTGAATCGAACAGCAGTGTAGAGTACTTTTAATCATCTACACATGGAAGTCACTTGAATCGAACAGCAGTGTAGAGTACTTTTGATCATCTAGACGTTCTCTTGCACTGGAAATACAATTAAACAATATTTAAAATAGGCTAACTAGATGACCTTCTATTTCATTCTAAAAGTATAAGAAGCACATTGTGAAAAGATACACTTGCCTCTCGATGCGTAATATCACCCTATACAGACTGTGCTATATGAAAACAAGCGGTGCAGTATAATGTGCACAAAATACGGGTATTGACAGTCATTTTTGAATGTGAATTTGTGATTCCATTAACTAAGGCAATGTTGGTAACTAAGTTATGTTTTTCACAACTTTTTTCACAATGTTCACATTCAAAGGATTTCTCACCATTATGAGTGATTATATGATGTGTCAAGTTATTTTGTTGTGCAAAACACTTGTCACAATGATCACATTTGAATGGTTTCTCTCTAGTATAAATATAAATCCTAAAATGCCATTTTAAACTGTTTTGTTGGGTGAAACATTTCTTATTATGATCACATTTGAATGACTTCTCTCTTATGAGTCCCTATATGTTGTAATAAATGGTGTTGGCGTCTGAAATGCTTTTCACAATGATCACATTTGAATGGTTTCTCTCCAGTATGTGTCATGATATGTCGTTTTAAATTGTTTTGTTGGGTGAAACATTTCTCACAATGATCACATTTGAATGGTTTCTCTCCAGTATGTGTCATGATATGTCGTTTTAAATTGTTTTGATGGATGAAACATTTCTCACAATGTTTACATTTAAATGATTTCTCTCCAGTATGAATCTTGCTATGTTGTTTCAAATTATTTTGATGGGTGAAACATTTTTCACAATGTTCACATTTAAAGGATGTCTCTCCATTATGAGTGATTATATGATATGTCAAATTGCTTCGACCTGCGAAACACTTGTCACAATGTTCACATTTGAAAGGTTTCTCTCCAGTATGAATCCTAAAATGACGTTTTAAACTATTTTGTTGGGTGAAACATTTCTCACAATGTTCACATTTGAATGGTTTCTCTCCACTGTGAATCCTAATATGCTCTTTCAAAGCGGAGTCTTGTGTGAAACACTTTCTACAATTATCACACTTGAATGGTTTCTCTTTAGTATGAATCCTGATATGCTGCTTCAAAACTTTTTTAAGCATGAAACATTTCTGACAATATTCACATTTGAATGGTTTCTCTCCAGTGTGAGCACTGGCAGCATAGATATTATCATCGACAGAACATCCAAGTTCAGCTTTGATATCTGATTCCTTATCCTCAAACTGAACAGGTGCATTACATTTATTTGTTTCAAGATCAGACAGATCATCTGTGCAGTTTAACTCTTCTTTAATATTGAGTGAATTATAGTCAATTGAAGCAGTCACTTCTTGGCCACCTGCACAATCTAATTCTCGTTTGATATCATTATGGCTGATCCTGTTCAGCAATGTGGCATCATTTGTAGCAATACAGTCCTCATCAAATGATTCCTTGATTTCTTCTTTAATATTGAGTGAATTGTAGTCAATTGAAGCAGTCACTTCTTGGCCACCTGCACAATCTAATTCTCGTTTGATATCATTATGGTTGATCCTGATCAATGTGGCATCATTTCTATAGATACTATCCTCATCAAACGAATCCTTGATTTCCTCTTTGATACTATGTTCCTCATTACCTTGCCTTGTATCATTCTCTGCTGCCATGTCATCAATATTCTTAAGATCTTAAACTATACCTGAATATTGAATGTCTTCAAAAGTATCTAGAGAACTGATTTGTCACTGTGCTATCATCACCTCTTATATGTTTATATGTTCGTGGAAATATATGAAAGTTACTTGAAGCTAACAGCAGTGTAGAGTACTTTTGATCGTCTAGATGTTCTCTTGCCCTGGAAATACAATTAAACAATATTTAAAATAGGCTAACTAGATGACATTCTATTTTTTTTATTTATTTTTTTTTTTATATATATTTATTTATATGATATAGAAAGTACAATATAGTGCTGCGGCTAGGCTTAAAGCATTATTAGCCACATATAGAATACTTATATAAGGGGTAAACATAAAAATTGTAAGCCTAAATGGTAAAAGGCTTAAACTGCCTGGGATCTTTCGAAACACTGTCTGATAAACAGAGCACTGGATGCAAGTATTTCATGGTTCTTACTAAGAGAAACAGATGGGTGACCAAAGAGAAATAAGTCAAGTTTATCTTGTCTATTTTGCATAAATGCCTGTAGTTCGGAAGTTAATCAAAAAGCTTCTGTTCAAAGCTTATGTAGAATGGTTGTCTAATGGGACAAGAAAATATTACATGTTTTGTTGTTTCACTTTTGTCACCACATATACATTTAGGTGAATTTACATTGACAAAGTTCTATTTCATTCTAATAGTATAAGAAGCACATTGTGAAAAGAAGATACACTGTATTTCAAAATATGTTCAAAATCAATATGAAATGCCTCTTGATGCGTAATATCACCATATACAGACTGTGCTATATGAAAACAAGCGGTGCAGTATAATGTGCACAAAATACGGGTATTGACAGTCATTTTTGAATGTGAATTTGTGATTCCATTAACTAAGGCAATGTTGGTAACTAAGTTATGTTTTTCACAACTTTTTTCACAATGTTCACATTCAAAGGATTTCTCACCATTATGAGTGATTATATGATATGTCAAGTTATTTTGTTGTGCAAAACACTTGTCACAATATTCACATTTGGCAGGTTTCTCTCTAGTATAAATATGAATCCTAAAATGCCATTTTAAACTGTTTTGTTGGGTGAAACATTTCTTATTATGATCACATTTGAATGACTTCTCTCTTATGAGTCCCGATATGTTGTAATAAATGGTGTTGGCGTCTGAAATGCTTTTCACAATGATCACATTTGAATGGTTTCTCTCCAGTATGTGTCATGATATGTCGTTTTAAATTGATTTGTTGGGTGAAACATTTCTCACAATGATCACGTTTGAATGGTTTCGATCTAGTATGAATCCTGATATGTACTTCCAAATTGTTTTGATGGACGAAACATTTCTCACAATGTTTACATTTGAATGGTTTCTCTCCAGTATGAATCTTGCTATGTTGTTTCAAATTACTTTGATGGGTGAAACATTTTTCACAATGTTCACATTTAAAGGATTTCTCTCCATTATGAGTGATTATATGATATGTCAAATTGCTTCGACCTGCGAAACACTTGTCACAATGTTCACATTTGAAAGGTTTCTCTCCAGTATGAATCCTAAAATGCCATTTTAAACTGTTTTGTTGGGTGAAACATTTCTCATTATGATCAAATTTGAATGACTTCTCTCTTATGAGTCCTGATATGTTGTAATAAATGGTGTTGGCGTCTGAAACACTTTTCACAATGATCACATTTGAATGGTTTCTCTCCAGTATGTGTCATGATATGTCGTTTTAAATTGTTTTGTTGGGTGAAACATTTCTCACAATGATCACATTTGAATGGTTTCTCTCCAGTATGTGTCATGATATGTCGTTTTAAATTGTTTTGATGGATGAAACATTTCTCACAATGTTTACATTTAAATGATTTCTCTCCAGTATGAATCTTGCTATGTTGTTTCAAATTATTTTGATGGGTGAAACATTTTTCACAATGTTCACATTTAAAGGATTTCTCTTCATTATGAGTGATTATATGATATGTCAAATTGCTTCGACCTGCGAAACACTTGTCACAATGTTCACATTTGAAAGGTTTCTCTCCAGTATGAATCCTAAAATGCCGTTTTAAACTGTTTTGTTGGGTGAAACATTTCTCACAATGTTCACATTTGAATGGTTTCTCTCCACTATGAATCCTAATATGCTCTTTCAAAGTGGAGTCTTGTGTGAAACACTTTCCACAATGATCACATTTGAATGGTTTCTCTTGAGTATGAATCCTGATATGCTGCTTCAAAACTTTTTTAAGCATGAAACATTTCTGACAATATTCACATTTGAATGGTTTCTCCCCAGTGTCAATACTGGCAGCATAGATATTATCATCGACAGAACATCCAAGTTCAGTTTTGATATCTGATTCCTTATCCTCAAACTGAACAGGTGCGTTACATTTATTTGTTTCAAGATCAGACAGATCATCTGTGCAGTTTAACTCTTCTTTAATATTGAGTGAATTGTAGTCAATTGAAGCAGTCACTTCTCGGCCACCTGCACAATCTAATTCTCGTTTGATATCATTATGGTTGATCCTGATCAATGTGGCATCATTTCTAGAGATACTACCCTCATCAAACGAATCCTTGATTTCCTCTTTGATACTATATTCCTCATTACATTGCCTTGTATCATTCTCTGCTGCCATGTCATCCATATGCTTAAGATCTTAAACTATACCTGAATATTGAATGTCTTCAAAAGTATCTTGAGAACTGATTTGTCACTGTGCTATCATCACCTCTTATATGTTTATATGTTCGTGGAAATATATGGAAGTCACTTGAATCGAACAGCAGTGTAGAGTACTTTTGATCATCTACACATGGAAATCACTTGAATCGAACAGCAGTGTAGAGTACTTTTGATCATCTAGACGTTCTCTTGCACTGGAAATACAATTAAACAATATTTAAAATAGGCTAACTAGATGATATTCTATTTCATTCTAATAGTATAAGAAGCACATTGTAAAAAGATACACTGTATTTCAAAATATGTTCAAAATCAATATGAAATGCCTCTAATGCGTAATTTCACCCTTATAATACAGTAATACAAACTGTGCTATATGAAAACAAGTGGTGCGGATATAATGTGCGCAAGATGCGGATATTAACAGTCATTTTTGAATTTGAATTTGTGATTCCATTAACTAAGGCGATGTTGGTAACTCAGTTATGTTCATCCTTTGTAGAGGATACCCAGTAAAAGGAAACTTTTGTTTTGTATAGTTGTGTTCCTCATTCTTTAAGGACACACTAAGCATAAATCTTTTCTCCATAGCAAAGAATTTGAAATTGACGCCTTAATACACCATTTAAAGCCATCATTCAGCATTT